AATATTGTGTCACGTAATTTTTTCAAGGGAAAATTACGTGGTTAAGCAAACTTATACTACTTAATTACTCATCATAGCTATAGTTTGTTATAATTACCACTCGCGACTAACATTATACATTAATTACGTGGGCTGACTTCGAGATTGTATAATTAGCCACGTTTGTATATGTATAATTAGCAAGAATATACAAATACATATGTATAATATACAATTATCTTACCGATATACATATACAATTCACCTCTCTCCCACTCTCTGCCTCTCTCGCTCTCCTCTCTCCTCCCTCTCCCAACTTCAGTTGCCATATATACAAATGCATATGTATAATATACAATTATCTAACCGATATACATATACAATTCACCTCTCTCCCACTCTCTGCCCTCTCTCGCTCGCCTCTCTCCTTCCTCTCCCAATCTCGCTCGCCTCTCTCCTCCCTCTCCTAATCTCGCTCTCCTCTCTCCTCCCTCTCCCAATCTCGCTTGCCATATATACATATACATATGTATAATACACAATTATCTAACCGATATACATATACAGTTCACCTCTCTCCCACTCTTTGCCCTCTCTTGCTCGCCTCTCTCCTCTCTCTCCCAATCTCGCTCACCTTTCTCCTCCCTATGACATATAGCTACGAATTGTAATTATCAAACTATAGCTATGGAGAGTTATTAGGCTAATTTTGTGTGGCTATATGTGAAAGTTTCTCTTTTCAATAAAGCTTTTATTCGTACTTATTATTAGTACTAGACATCGGAGCCTGTGCTAGCACGGGCCCAATATGTATCATTTTTTGTTTCAATTTATGTGACAAAGACAAAATTAAAGAGTTAATCAAACTTTAATATTAATTTAAAAATAGTTTAAATTTTTAATTATTGTTAACTATGGTAAATTTTTTTTATGTCTTTTAACATTCTAAATTGCTAATTATTGTTGTATGATTTGTAATATCTTTTACGCAATTTTGAAATAATAAAGGTTATTTCTTCTTTTTCAATTTATGTGGTACTAATAACATTTCGAGATTCAATCAATTTTTTTTGTCTTTAAAATATTCTATTGTTAATTACTGTAAATTATTGTACTTTCTAAGTAATTTTCAAATGATATATATTATTTCATTTGTCCAATTTATGTGTCACCGATAAAATTTGAAGAGTTAATCAGATCTTTTACATATTTTTTTATATCTTTTGAATATTTAAGTAAATAATTATTGTGATTTATAATATTTTATATAATTATTTAAAAAAAATTAAACAACAAACAAAACGAATTCATCATAGGAAAATTATCAAAGCATCCTTGAATACATCAATAATGGGTCCCACTTTTTGTTTTAAAAAATATGCATATTGGGAGGATATTTTTGTCCAAAGTGGAAATAGAATAAGTATAAAGCATTAAAGTCTTTTAAAATTTAAAATTGTTAATTCTTATTGTATTATTTGTAATACTTTTACGCCATTTTCAAATAATAGAGGTCATTTCTTCTTTCTCAATTTATGTAGTACTAATTTTTTTTTGAGATTCAATCAATTTTTTTTGTCTTTGAAATATTTTTAGCTGTTAATTCTTGTAATTTATAGTACTTTCTAAGAAATTTTCAAATAATATATATTATTTCATTTGTCCCAATTTATGTGTCACCAGTAAAATTTGAAGAGTCAATCAGATCTTTTATATATTTTTATATCTTTTTAATATTTAAGTAATTAATTATCGTGATTCATAATATTTTTATACAATTATTTAGTATAGTAAAATAAATTTAAAAGAAACAAACAAAACGAATTCATCATAGGAAATTACCAAAGCATCCTTCAATACATCAATAATGGGTCCGACTTTTTATTTTTAAGAAATTGCACATTCGAAGGATATTCTTGTCCAAAGTGGAAATATTGTGTAAAAAATATGTATTTATTGTGATTTTGAATGTTTTGTGGGGTAATAGGACGTACGCAAAGTTAAGGTGTCTTTTTGCAAATCTGGGACAACTTCAATTATCACTTAATGTTTTTTCTCAAAATCTAATTTACTTTCGTAAACTATGTGTCAGATCAAAATCAGATTAACAAATTCAAAAGGAATGAGTAATAAATAGCTCATACAATGACATATTTATTATTTAACTAAATAATAAATATGTAATTAAAAATCTTGTTAGCTTTTGATTGAAAGCTAACAAGATAGTTACAATGATAGTTGCATTGTGGCTTATTATATATATATATAGAGAGAGAGAGAGATATGAAAAAATATTTCTCAATCATTTTATATCAAAATAATTGTAAAATATTAAAAGTGTACAAATATATCAAAGTTTTAACTTAGAAAACAAAATAGAACAACAGACCGAACGGGGTTATATGCTTCAATCACAAAAAAAATAAAAATAAAGCCTTGTATCTTCTACTTAAAGAAAAAAATAGTATGAAATATTTCATGATTTGAAATTAAATTTTATTTAGACGTATAATTTGAATTTTTTTAAAATCATATTTTTTTTCTTAAACATAAAATTTTATATTTTGTGAAAATTTTAACTTTTTACAATTCGTATACAATCTTATCAAAATATCTCAAAATGGTGTTAATCGATAACAACAATTATGAATTTGATTGAAGAGCATGTTAAGAAGAATGGATCGAAGAAATGCCTAATATAAATAGATAATTGATGTCATAACATTCCAAAAATCAATGCGCCATAAGGTTGTTAGGAGTGATATAATCTTCATTCTAAACTATATGTACCATGTTCAAATCGTATAAATGAAGTAATTCTTTGTAATATCTCACGATAAAATTATTCGAATAAACTGAATTTCAAAATGATTATCAAACATTAGTAAAATCTTTTTACTTGTTCAAAAAGAAAAAAAATTCTTTAGAGATAAAATCATCTTTGTTAGGAAATGCTTTACTTTTTCATAAAAAAATTTTGATAGATAATTTGAATTTAATCAGATTTTAATACTGATATCGTAAATTGATAAGTAGAAGTAGTAGTTTATTATAAGGTGGCCCTTTGTTTGACTTTCCCTTTCATGTTATGGTGGGGTTTGGTTATGTCCACAAAAAGCAAACGAAACTAGATGTAGGTGGCTCCTCTTAATTTTTGGACTTCATGTAACTATATACTTATCCTTTTATTTTGTCCATTTATTTATGTTGAAAGTAACGTAATTATTTGTACTTTACTTTTAAAGAAAATGACATATCAAGAAAAATATTTATTTTCCCTTCGTATATAATTAAAAATATAATAATATATGATTTGAGTATTTGATAAATTCAATGTCCATTTGGTTGTATTATATGAAGAAGACATAAAAGATGACACATGTGTATACTATCAATAATGTTTGATTATTGAAACTTTTATGAATCGACAAAAACCTAGATGAATTCATAGATGAAATTCTACTTGTGATTTATTAGGAGTTGTCTAGTTCATCAGGTAAGATAGAATATCTCAAAAATAAAATATTATTTTTTTATTGAAGGTATAATTAATACTAAGATAAAATTATATCTTAAATTTGATGTTATTTTATTTTATCTAAAGATAAGATTAAAATTATGAAATAACTTGCTTTCGCAAATATAATGACCCCTTATTGTAGGGAGAAAACTGATCAAGAAAAGTAGAACTAATATGAAATAAGCTTCTGAATTAAAGTTTTAAGAGTTCTGAATTTAATTTATTAATAAATTTATAATATGTTTTAATTATTGAATCGCAATTATGAATATATACATGTACAAGATGAAACATGTTTCTTTAAACTATGAAAAATGATCCAATTTTGAAACTTTTATGAATAGACAAAATAAGGATGAATTTTTTTTATTAATATTTATTTCTCATTCGATATTTCATATCTGTTTTAAAGTTTAATTAATTTTAATTTGCATCATATGAAAGAAACATTATTCTTTACAAAAAAAATTATATTCCAAACTTGAACCAAGAACCTCTTATTAAATTAAAAAAGCAGTACATCCTTTGATGATAGCATGGATCGATTCTACTTGTCAAAGCCTCTTATTATTATTATTATTATTATTATTATTATTATTATTATATTGAGAAAATTGATCAAGAAAAGTGGAGGACAAATGGTCAAGTAGGAAGAGTTTATGAATTTTAGGATCGTCATCAAACTTATAATTTGTTTTAATTATTGAATTTATAATTATAGATTAGTGAATAACTTATAAAGAAAAGTGCGAGCACAAATATGGAGACATGGTTAAAAAAAATGTGGGAAATACTATAAACTATAATTTTTCTCATATCAATATGATAAAAAAAACATCTTAAAAATTGATCAAAATTCCTAACTTCAATTTTTAAAATGAAAATTGTAATAAATATTTTGAAATGTAAATAGAATTACTCTCCCTGATAGAAGACTAATTTTACTATATCATTCTTTGAATATAATAAATATAATGTCTTTAAAAATGTAATAGATAAATGACTATAATTATCTATTAATTTCATAAAATGAATTAATATTAATTATTATTAGATATTCCAAAATAATATACTAGATAGTAACTATTATTAGACGGAGGAAATAGTAATTTTTACCTTTTCTAGTCTCTTTGCAAAAAAAAAAGAAGAGCAATAATATCACTTTCCTAAAAGATTAATTATGGGAGTCAGTGATACTGTTTTACTAGTTAAGTGGGGACATAAGTGAGGTCCATAATTTTTGACTTTGTAAATAAAACAAGATTGTTGGATGATTATTTTATCCAACGGCTGATATTTCTCGTTAATAAAATTAAAATATTGGTAGGATATGTGCGGTGAATGAAGTTGTTTCTTTCTTAATTCTCGAGTTGGAGTGAGTATGAATTTTTTTTGGTAAGAAGCACTTTCTACAGATAGGTTCTTCTTTTCCGAATGGAGCCTATATAACGTAAATTCAAAATAGTCAAACTTCGATATGAATACGAGACAACAAATAAAAAAACATTGGTAGGACGGCATTTCAGTATTTATCTGTTTGAGAATTAATTTCTCTTTCTCCAAATCTCCACCACCTTCCCATCTTTACATAATTTACACGTTTCTCTCTCTCCCCTTATCTCTCTCTCTCTCTAAAAAGACTCTTTTTTCCCCTCATTTGTTTCTTTGTATTTTCTTTTTCCTTTTGTGTAAAGAAGAAGAGAAGAACAACAAGAAGGAAGAGGAACAAATAAAGTAAAGTTTTAATCTTTTTTAAGGATGATATGATAACTGTAATGCACTTTTTATTTTTGTAAATTTGATATGGAGTTTGAGTGTGAAGATTGAAAAAAAAGCTAATTTCAATAGTTTTTTGACTGATGATATGTCAATAATGTGATTTTCTTGATATGGGGTTGTCTCCAAGTTGCTATTTTTGATGTGCTCTGGCTTTTTTGATAGGCTCTTATGGTAATGTTTTCATATAAAAATTTGATCTTTTTCACTCTTATTGTTTCTTATTTATGCTTAATTTTATTGGGTTTGAGTGTAAAGAATTGAAAAAAAAACTTTATTTCAATGGTCTTTTGACTGATGATATGTCAATAATGTGATTTCTTGATATGGGGTTGTCTCCAAGTTGCTATTTTTGATGTACTCTGGCTTTTTTTTTGATAGGCTCTTATGGTGATATTTCATATAAAAATTTGATCTTTTTCACTCTTATTGTTTCTTTTTCATGCTCAACTTTTTTGGGTTCGAGTGTAAAGACTGTAAGAAATAAAGAAGCTAATTTGAATGTTTTTTTGACTGATGATATGTCAATAATGTGATTTTCTTAATATGGGGTTGTCTCAAAGTTGCTATTTTTGAAGTTCTCTGGCTTTCTTGATAGGCCTTTATGGTAATATTTTGATCTTTTACACTCTTATTGTTGCTTATATTTGCTCAATTGTATTGGGATTGTGTTTTTTCCTTGCTTTCTCTTTAAGGTATTGATATTTTAGAGAACTTAAGAAGTTGGTATTTCAATGGTCTTTGATTTGATGATATGTCAATAATATGATTTTCTTAATATGGGGTTGTCTCAAAGTTGCTTTTTTTTAATATGCTCTTATGGTAATATTTCATATAAAAATTTGATCTTTTTCACTCTTAGTGTTTCTTATATTTGCTCAGTTTTATTGAGATTGTGTTTTTTCTTTGCCTTCTCTTTTAGATTTGATATTTTAGAGAACTTAAGAAGTTAGTATTTCAATGGTCTTTGATTGATGATATGTCAATAATATGATTTTCTCGACATGGTTTTGTCTCTAAGTTGATATTTTTGATGTGCTCTAGCTTCCTTGATAGGCTCTTATGGTAATATTTTCATATAAAAATTTGATCTTTTTTACTCTTATTGTTTCTTATTTGTGCTCAATTTTATTGGGTTTGAGTGAAAAGATTGGAAAAAAAGCTAATTTGAATAGTTTTTTGACTGATGATATGTCAATAATGTGATTTTCTTGTAATGGTTTTGTCTCCAAGTTTCCACTTTTGATGTCCGCTGGCTTCCTTGATAATCTCTTATGGTATTTCAATTTAAAAGGTGGTATTTCCCTTTTATTGTTTCTTGTTATGCTCAGTTTTATTGGAGTTGCTGTTTTTTTTTCTTTCTCATAATATTTTGATATTTAAAGAACTAAAAAAACCATTTTAATGGACTTTGACTGATGATATGTCAGCAGTATGATTTTCTTGGCATGGGTTTGTCTCCAAGTTTCTGTTTTTGATGCTTATTGGCTTCCCTTGTAGTAGATTCCAATGGTATTTGTTTTTCTTCATATTTTCAAGCTTTAATTTTGACTGGATTATTCTTGTTATGCTCAATTTTATTGGGATTCTCTATTTTATTTTTAAATTATTTTCTTGACTATTTATGTGACTAAGATGAAAATTTTGATGTCTACTTTGTTTTTCTGAATAGCTTTGTTTGAATTCTGTAAAGGCTCTATCTTTGAATTCATAACTGGTGTCACCCTTATGATTATATTGCTTCCCTCCGTCTTCTTTCCCCTTTTGTTTGGTTTGTAAGACTCTTGGAGTTTTTCCTTTAGTTGGTTTCTGATTTCTGGATGATTCTTCAAATATATTACAAGGAATTGATGAAAGACAAGTGGTGCTCACTGTTGGGTAGCTGTGATACCATTAGCCATCTTTTAGGATTTTATTTATTGGCAAATCATCTGTGCAACTTAAGGCATATATTCATAGATTTGTATCTGTGATATTCAGAGTTATGTGAGAAATTTTTACTAATATTGAGGTTTACTTGCTGCCTATGTGAGTTTCGTAAGGTTGCAATTCCGGTTAAAGGGGAAGAATTGCACCAAATGTAGTAAATTATGACAATCATCACAATAATGAATGCATCGGGTTATGATCTCCTAGACACATGCTACATTGTTGATAGTTGATTAACTTGCAAATGATGTGATTACGAGTTGCCTTTTCTGATACTGCTTGTCTTCGTAATAGTATTACTTTTGTTGTTCCCATCGAAAGATTCTCAGTTTCTTGTAGGAAAACTGAGTTTTGATGATAGGGGTTAGAGAAAATTCTCGTCATCTATCACTATGAGTTTGTGACTTTAATTTTGCTTGAGGTTTTCCTTATATTCATCACCTTGAAAGTGAATTTCAGAGTGGTAAAATTGAGGTTTCTTCTCAATTGCAATATACTTGATCGTTCTTCTTGAAACTTGTTGATTGCTGTGATAATTGAATTTTTTTATGGTAGTCCTGTCCTCATTTGCTAAAAAGTAAGTCTTTGACTTCGTGATTTTAAGGTCTAACTAGTAGTAACATTATGCTATTTGGTTTTGACATGACAGAACTAAGAGGTTGTATGTAATCTATGGATGAATATTCAAACAAAAGAGCTGTTAATGGCCTTTACGTTCCCAGAAGAGGTTTGAGGGACATAGCTGACAGCAGGGATGAAAATGTTCAGTTGTGCTCTCGATATGGATGCAGCAGCCGGCACAAATCTATGAAGAGCCCGCAAGTTAGAAGTACAGAGAAACCAAGACCTCTCAGGCCTTCTTTCACTTCTTCAAATGGAAAAGAAGTTGTTGGAAGTTCATGTAGGACATCCTCTGTGATGGCTAATGCAAGAAAATCACTGAAGGACAGGAAAGCAAATTCTCATGTTGGAAATGATCAATCAGAAACAACTTGTTCACATGGTGAACCTGAAGCTTCGGAACACATGAAGTCATCAAAAGCGCATCAACCCCAATTCAATTCAGTAATTCAAGATACTGGATCAAGTAAAATTACATTGAAAGAAGTAGGTTGCTCTAGTGGCGCTTCAAGCAGTAGACCTCGTAGATTATTTACTCCCAAGTATTCCAATCAAAATAGTCCAGTAGGTTCGTCTGTTTCTTTGTCGTCTAAGGCCATTGGTGCAGGGACCAGGGGCACTGCTAGTGGGGCTGGATATGTGCCGAGATATCTAAAATGCAACTCACGATCAGATATCTCTCCAAAGAGTTGTTCAACAGCAGATTCAAGATTTAGTAGAAGGGACATGGTAAAAAGAAGAAATTCAGAAGGTGAAAGCACTTCATCCTCTAAAGGGAAGAAAGTAAGTGGGGCATTACCAAAAGGAGGAGATGTCATTCGTCCAACTCGTGGTATCTCAATTTCCGATTCAAGGAGTAGTAAAAACTTTGATATTAGGGAGGATAATCGTGCTGTATCAGTGAGGACTCGCAGGTCAATGAATGTGCCTAGGCTTAGAGATTCAGTACGAGATTCGTCATCTGGCTTTTTCCAGAATTCACCTCAGCCTGAATCTCCAAATTTCAGTCTGCAGTCATCAAGTCAATTTTTCTCAGATGCCTCTTCGAGTGATTCAAGTGCTTTTAGTTTTCCTGGAAATGATGTTGAAGATCTCCCAGCTGGAGTGTCTGGAACTTCTGCACAACTAGGTATAAACCAATTAATGAACCGTGATGCCTTGCAGCGATATAACATGGATGGAGTTGCTCAGGTATTTTACCCAACAGAATCTCAGTCACTGTTTTTCTGGATCAGGTTTTACGGTATTTCACTTTGATCGCTGCTTTTCTGTACAGGTATTAGTGGCACTCGAAAGAATGGAACAAGATGAGGAATTAACATATGAGGTAGTCCACCTTTGAGTATTTCGTACCACTCAGGCGTTTCCTATTTGTATTTATGATGAACTCTTATTTTCCATGTACAGCAACTACTTGTGTTGGAAACCAACTTGTTTCTTGGTGGCCTCAACTTCTACGACCAGCATAGAGGAATGAGGCTGGATATAGACAATATGTCCTATGAGGTCTTTATTCTCTTCAGTATATTATTACTGACTATGTTCATCCAAACTTAATTTTCATCAAAATGTCGAGGTTTTTTTTATGGGGGTAGTGGGTTGAGGTTCATCCAATAGCTTCAAGATCACCGTCGCACAAAAGATAAGTTCCCACCGTTAGTTATACCTTTTACGCCCTGCAAAACTTAATTTTTTGCCTGTTAACAGGAATTATTAGCTCTCGAGGAGAGGATGGGGAGTGTTAGCACAGCTCTGTCAGAGGAGGCATTGTCAAAGTGCATCCGGAAAAGCATTTATCAGGCTATGCCTTCAGAAATAGGGGAATTTGGAAGCGACGAGAATGAAGATGAGGTCAAATGCACTATTTGTCAGGTTTTTCCCACTTCAAGCAATATTTTGTATATTCCAATGTTCCTGATGTGTTGTACTTAAATCTAAGTAGGTAGCACCTTGCTTTGTCACTTTGTTTTTATTTTCTGATGCAATATTACTTGAAGTGCAGTTAACACTACATTAGTTTTATGTTGTACATCCTAAGATGTTTTAGTCATCAATTAGCTAACTTTTATTTAGTAGAGTTCTCTAGGTTTATGCCTTGTTAAACTCTCTTCTTGAACACGGTGGAGTAGAAAAATTCCTGACCTAATAATTAGAGCCGTAATTTGAGTGAATGTCACTAGATTTAATTCTGTTTTTGCATAACATAGACAAGTCTATCCCATTCTAGACATAGTTCCATGCATCTAGCGACCATACTTTGTTCATGTGGTGTTAGCGTATAATCACTACTCAACATGTATGTTTGGTTCTAGGCTGTAGAGGTTCTATTGCTTTACTTGTCCTAAATTGATGATAGTTTCACCCAGTGACGGTCTATTATATAATATTTATTGTTTCCTAAAATATATTTTATAATATGCATGCGCGCACACTCACATAGTTAGGACCTCTTTATAATAGTAATAACAACATTTCACTATTACTATCAAGTTATCTTTAGAATCGTTTCTTCATGTTATCCTATGCTTCTCTATAACATCATTTCGTTATGAAAAAAGGTGTCGGATAACACCCACTGTAGGAAGGTGTCTCCGCCACTTCATGCATCTAGGATGTTGCATACCAAAATGAATTCAAAGTTGTGACTCAATTAAGTAAATGACGTGTTTTTCGCAGGAGGAGTATGTGATTGGAGATGAAATAGGAAGGTTGGAATGTGATCATGGGTATCATGTGGAATGTGTAAAACATTGGTTGAGTCTCAAGAATTGGTGTCCTATATGCAAAGCTTCAGCAGCTCCATCTTAGCTCAATTTGTTTCCCTAATGTACAAATTCATCAAGTTGAAGGGTGGGGTGGGGGTGTTTCTGTTCATTTTTTGAATTCTTTGCTTTTGTATATATATACAGTTCTTGTCACATCAAACCAATAAACCCATGCCAATGCAGGCTTTGTGGTGATAGCTGATGAACATTGATATTTATTTCCTTCAAAAATCCTTATAAAAAGTGTTCTGGAATTTACTTACTGGTGTTGTCATAACTATCCCAACTTCCGGATTTTGTTATGCTACTCTATCCGCATTCTGGTACCTACATTGAGGCCTGACTAAATTTGGATTCACTAAACAAAGGTGATTTTGTATTCAGTAGGGGCGAACTTGAGACCTCTGGTTAATGATGAAGTTAACCGGAGTTGTTGGAAGGAGGTAGGTTCCCTCTAACATCATTTGAAATGGTGATCATTTTGGTCCAAATAGGTTGATGGAGTATCAATTTTCATATATCTAAAGTAGGCAATCCAACCAAAAGTACTAAAAAATAGACTTTCTTCTAATGGTTACTTTTGTTTGCTTCTATTTTTCATTTTTTTTCCCCATTAAGTGGTTTGTTTGTGGTTCTCTTTCAATTAAATATAGTAAAACTTTATTAATGAAAATGTATGTTTGTTACAACTTTCACAAGTAATTGAGAACCATAACACTAATAAGAATTAATACCCTTTTATTCCACTTTATGGGCCATTAAAATAAAAGATATTTGTTAGTCCATTTAAAATGAATAATACCTTTTCATTTGAAGATAATTTAAATTTTATTTTATTTTATCAACCAAACATAATCCTAAAATTAGTTATTCCCTATGTTGCACTTTATCTAACTCATTTTCCTTTTTAGTCTGTCTTAAATTATCAATTTTACTCTTAATAAAATGATTTATAACCACACAAACGTTTATCACTCATTTTCGATCATGAATTTAAAAATCTTTCTTTCTTTCTTAAACTCTGTATCTAAGTTAAACTAACTTGTATAAAACGAGATGAAGGGAGTATCAAATTAGTCATCCTTGGGCTCCAAGTATTCCTTGAGTCCCAAGTATTTTTCAAATTTGCTTACGTCTGTGCTTGTGACAGCATTTGGTCAAAACATATATTTCTTTGACTTTGCCGCCAAACAAGCCCTTAATCTGCTGCCTTTATATATACAGAAACCTACAGACCCAATTTTGAATCAAACAAAGAAGAAGAAAAAGAAGAAAAATGAAGAGTTTAATTTGTAACTGTTGTAATAAGGAATTTTTTGACGAAAATGAGCAAAAAAATTCATTACAAATCAGAATGGCACACTTATAATCTTAAACGCAAGGTAAACAGCTAAATTTACCCTTTTTTGTGTTTTTGGAAAGTAAAAATGAATTTTATTGCATAAACATTACTCCCTCCATCCCTTTGGATTTCGAGATTCAAACAGGTCTATCTTTTACCATAATTTTTTTATATACTCCTATCTTTTAGTTATTTTTAATTATCAATTATTGTGACTTATAGTACTTTTTACGTAGTTTACAAATATATAAATTTCATTTTGAAGATTCTACGCGCAAATTTCCAGTCAAACTTAAACTAAGTGCTACATGATTGTGGAATGGATTAGAGTTCATTGTTCTGTTTCTTTGGTATTTATTTCAGGTTGCTGGAGTTCCTGGATTGAATGAGGCACTCTTTGTAGCCAGACAGTCTGCACTTGCAGAAGAAACTCCATTGCTATATAGTTGTGTACATTGTGGCAAAGAATATAGAAGCTTTAAAGCTTATGCTCAACATCTGAAATCTAAAACTCACTTAGCACGAGCTTCACAAGAGACAGGTCATCATCACGATGAGAATAGCGTTATTAGTGGAAGGGATGAGAGCGAGTGGGAGGAGGTTGATCAAGAGGAAGAGATCGCGTGTGAAGACAATGACTCATTGAGACAACTAAAGATGAATGGAAGTAGTACTAGTAATGGTGTTATGGATGATGAAGGTAACAATGTTGATGAGTTGGATCCGCGTTGTTGTTTCATGTGTGATTTGGAACAAGATACAGTAGAAAACTGTGTGGTTCATATGCACAAGAAGCACGGGTTCTTCATACCTGATATCGAGTATTTGAAGGATCCTGAAGGCTTCCTCACCTACCTTGGTCTCAAGGTAATACTCTAGGTTTCGTTTTTCTTGTATGATCTTCAAGTCCGTTTAAATAACACAGTAAAAATTGCTCTTTACGTCCTCAGGTTAGAAGGGATTATATGTGTCTGTATTGCAACGATAGATGTCGTCCTTTTAGTAGTTTGGAAGCAGTTCGGAAGCATATGGATGCAAAAAATCATTGCAAAGTGCATTATGGTGATGGTGGTGACGATGAAGAGGCGGAATTAGAAGAGTTTTACGACTATAGCAGCAGGTATGCTTGGTGATTTGATAGCTTCTAATGTACATTTGAGCAGAAGATAGATGCAACCTATATTTTTTAAGCTTGAACAACAACATATCCAATGTAATCTCACAAGTGAGGTCTTAGCTTTGGAGAGGGTAGAGTGTACACAGACCTTATCCCTACCTCGTAGAGATGGAGAGGTTGTTCCCAATGGGAACTTTATTAAAGTTTGAACCGCAGATGGTTAAGAACATCATCATGCAGGTAAATTTTGTTGTTATCCTTTACTAAGATCTGTATTTTTTTCATATTCTAGCTATGTGGATGCAACTGGAAAGCAGCTTGTTTCGTCTGAAGATTTTAACAACAATGTAGAACTAGGAAGTGGTGGATCTGAACTCATAATAACAACAAGAACCGATGATCGATTGTCTGTTAAATCAATCGGTTCAAGAGAGTTTTTGAGATATTATCGCCAGAAACCAAGGCCTACGCGCACTAATGATACAGCTATAAGCTCTGCTTTAAGCTTCAAGGTACGAATTTGACTCGTTACATGACACACGATGGCAACTAATATTTAGTCGTTTGAGCCAACATTCGTTTTCTCATCTCAGGGATCGAAGCATGAGCCTAGCAACCGTGTAATCGAGGGAGCACAACGTTAAAATGAAGGTGTTGAAGGCCATGAATAGATGTGGTCTGGATGCTATGCACTCTGGGATTGGCAGGAAAAGCAATGTTATTCGAAACCTCCCTAAAAATATACCATATTAGTCTCTTCCCTATGGATTATCTTGCAATATTTCCTACGAGTGTTATAATATTTATTAGTGTGTATAGTTTCCGAAAGGCATAATACATAAACATGCCTCTTAACTATGTATGAATGTTTGGTAACCACACACCCCCAACCCAGAAAAATAAATAGACAAGGCCAAAAGGTTTAAAAACCTCAAATTTATAATGAGATAGAGAGTGGTGAAGTCTCCTACATGAACTTACGAATAAATACTACACAACGTGGTCTTTCGAAAAAAAGAAGGGAAAGATGAATCAAGGATCCTCCTACAATAGCTTAAATTTCTTCTTTTAGTAAAGCTAATATACAACAATTTCAGGTCTACAGACTGCCTGGTCTACATATATCATCACTTACCTCTTTGCTCTGGTGGTCTTTCGAACATTTCTCACCGGTCTCTTTCCTTGTTGCTTCACAACTTTCCCGTTCTTTGCCAAGTCACGTGCCAAGACTGGTTCCTCCTGCGACATATCTTCACTAGGAATGGAAGCAGCAGGACTCTCTATTGTTTCATTCATGTCTGGTACATCCACAGCAGATTCGCTAAGAAATTCACACTTATCCGCTACTTGGTGAGATTTAGTCGACTTGTCCTGACTTGATGTTCCTGGTTTTGGCTTCTCATCACCAATGTGTGAGTCGTTTTGTCCTCTACTTTGACCTGCAGACAAACTATCGAGGGGGAAAACCAGCATTATTGGGATTCGAGCTCCAGAAAAATTGAAGAGCTTTATCATTCATTCTTTTACCTAGCATCTAATGATGTATATCCATTAGAACTTGGGGCTAAATTTGGTCGAGTCACTTCATGTGCGTCAGAGGCAGTTATATGAAGACCTGAACTTGTAAAAATGGGTAAATATAAGAGAAATTAAATTGGTCATAATGGAGAGAGATATCAGCAGTTAACCCAACCCCGCAGATCATATGGAAAAAAGAGAGACAGAAAACCGCATATAACAAATGTCACTTGCATATTTTAGGACATAATTATCCAACTATACACGCTGCCATAATCACAAGAAAGAGCAATGGAGGAACAAATGTGAATTGAGACTCATTACTAATCTCGCACATGATACACAAGCTATTTTAGTATTGGACGAACATGTTTTACAAGAAGATATATTAAATCTAGAACTATAGTTCACACTATGTGAGAAGTGCTAAACATCTGTAGACTCAGCCTAGATCATCCACCAGTAATGGTAGCCAAATGCTAGTGGAGCCTGTCAGTCAAGCAGCTTTGTAAACTTGACGATCAATGCAGGGTTCAAACTAAGAGCTGGATTTGTTTGTCAAGTTTACAAAGCGTCACAAAATTACCAACTTGTCGAGCACTAGGGTTCAAAATAGCTCTAAACTAAACCAGATATCAGACTCCATTACACCACATTGGTCACAAGTTTTCCTGGTTTGCATCTAGTTCCATTACACCCATAAGTCAGAACTACATAAGATATAGGATGAATTCAAATTTGTATTCCTCCATGTGCCATCCTGACCATTCTAGGCCTGCCATTGGTTACACCGTTGCAGTCACCATGGTTCTCTCTCACATATCCTCCTTACTCCCCCAATCAACAGACTAATATTGTCACTATCATGGCTGTGATTTGTGGTCCCTGATTTATATCCACCATTGGCCTGACATGAGAACTGCTTAGGAGATAGGAAGCCAAGAAACAAACTTCCACCTTCGAAGACACTAGGGAAGTATCAAATGCCTCCATCTTTGTTTACGTCTCTATCAGACCATTTAAAAGATAAACCCACATACCTAGTAAGTCAACTTTCAACTCCTATCTGACCAGGTAATAGAAGGCAACAATTTTGTATTGTCCAGATGATCAAATATGAATTACATGTCACTCGGCCAACTTCATATATTTGTGTATTGGTAAGTAGTAATAAGTTTAATTCTGAACCCATTACTGCAAATTAGCTTCACAACATAAAACAAACAGAAAAAATCTTAAAGAATGGCGTCAAGTACCATCATTGTGCTCAGAGGGGAAAACTGAACCAGTATGCATGTAAGATTCACGAGAAGCTTGCTCACCAACCCAAACTGCCTGTAAGTTTGAACAGTATGAGGACAGACGTACATAAGTTATTTCTCAAAAATAAGTACATAAGTAAACTCAACATCTTATTGTCCATATTGAAATGCTATCTTTTTTAGTCCAAATGTGCCAAATGATGAATAAAGTACTGAAATCCCTAAAACAAACGGTTACCTGATCTTGCAGCTGAATAGAAGAGGCAGCATTTAAAGGCCCATTCTCAGTTTCTCCACCATCTTGTGTTATTTCCACATCTGAAAGAGAAAAAATGAGGTTTCTACAGAAAACTAGCAATTTACAGCAGAAGACAAATTAAACCAAGACAACACCATAAGACCAGTCTAAGAGGCCAGATTAGAGCACAACACACCTGACCACTTAATGGGTACATCTGACAGTTTAGCAAGTCTCAAAGAACTTGAGTCATTTATCTTCTCCGCGGTACTGGTTCCTGTTAAATCACCAACTGCAGATTTTGGCTCTGCTTTGCGTTCTACCAAACGTAATTGGTAGTCAGTTTCCTTGGAAGGGTGGGCACGTAACATATCTTCTGTGGCTTTTGACCGGACTTTTCGTATTTCCTCATGAATATTCCATGACCCAGATGCATAAGAACTTTTTTTCTGTGATCCAGCAGAAAAACATATATCAGAAGACAGCAAAGAACAGAAAATTGATAAAGTAAATGGATTTAGTACTACTAAGTAGCTGTTCAACATCCTTGACATGAAATGCCTAACTAAGTTTAAGAATACAGAGCTCCTTCAAATCACTAAAATGATGAAGTGTGATCAAAGGTACAGCTTGAAACATGACACACACACACACATATGAAACATTATTATTATTATTTTTATTTTTTTGATAAATGAAACATGACATAATATTTAATTCAGTATTCTGAGGAATTGCCAAGAGGAGTAAACAGAAGTATTCTACCTATTTAGAAAATTAAAATAACACATGCACCAAAAGTGAGACTAGTGATGGAACAACCAAACATGCAAAGATAAGGACTAGTCACTTGGTAAACTGTTTGATATATCAAGTCTCTGTTATGAAGTTGCACTAATCAAGTTGAGAGGAATAAATTTCACAACAACTAACCCTTTTTTATTATTAGAATGATAACATTTCAAGTTAATATGTTGCTATAAGGGTAGATCTTAAGTCAAAGCATCAACCAGCTTGTTTCTTGCACAGTTCTAAGTTTATCAACTGGATGCAAGTCAGTAGATCCCATATCAATGTCCTCTAAACCACGTGCACATATCGAACTACATGGATGAACTCGTGCATGGCTGCTTTAGAATTTATTTCATTTCTTTAGTTTACAACCTTTAGTTTGTAACGGTGTAACCTTGGCAATGCTCTTTAATATTTGATTGATAACAATTTGATCTAATGTAAACGACTTCTCATAAGTAGATCCAAGTCCAAGAGCTTAATTCTTTCAAAAGTTATAAATTTATCAAACCATTGCAAGGCAATAAGATCCCTTCATAATATTAAACAACCCAATTGTACATATCAAATTCCAAAGATCAACATGTGCATGGCTGCTTTGTAATTTTCATCATCTCGTCAGTTTGAAACTTTTGCAATGTAGATAGTTCATGTATATTGGAAAATATATATAATATATTATGTAAATATAGGTATAAATAGAGTTCTAAAAAAATAGTAGTAAAAGCATTCTCGATAATATTTTTCTCGTGCTTTTATTTCTCACAGCAACATTCTTTGGCAAGTATCTTTTGTAGATTAAGCACACCTGTTAAGCAAAGTCAAGAAGCACATTCGTTTGATTGAAACACAGTGTGGGCACAATCAAGATTAAGTTTGAGATAGCAAGTAAGGCAAGCTGATATGCATCTAGGCAACCTTTCTTCTCTGTCTTCCCTTTTTGGACATTTTTTAGCAAGAAAGTAGCCTGGTCTCCAATTTATTACTTTGCTAAATAAGTTTTTTCTATCTGAAAACTACCAACTTTTGGCACTCTGAATCATCAAAGCTTCTAGTGCTAATTGTAGACATCGTTGTATAATCTTAGAAAACTAAGGTTCAACCACCGTTCGACAAAATAGGAGTGTACATCCTCAAAGGCTTGAAATGAAAGTGAACAGGCTGTAATAAAAGCAAAATAGAAATTTTCAATACCTTCAAGGAAGACAGAGAATCACCACTGACAGAATATGGAGCTTCTTCGTCAAAAAGCTTTGCCTTCATTTGTGAGGGGGTTCTAAGTCCACTATTATCAACAGCAGGGGATGCCCACGGTGGACGAACCTTCATATATGACTTGGCCATTTCTACAGGTGAGCCAAAAGTATCATCCACCTATAAGAGCATCAATAAACATTTTTACATAGCTATATTTCGGTATCACATAGCTGAAAGCAGTAAAATATGTGTCATTGTGCTGACAAAATATTACATGAGAAACACTAGTAGCACCATAAAGCTCCTTATAGAAAAAGAAGGATTGAAAGTTCGAGGTAGAAATAATATTATAGATAAAATACATATAAACTAGGCATCTAATTCAGATCAATTAGGAAAAACACTCTCATGGTTCAAGTTTCCACAATCAAATTTGACAACATTAAAATGACTTTTTTAAGAAACGGTACAATATAAATGAAGGAACTAATGTAATACAGACAAAAAGTACTCGACAAATTCATCCCGTATAATAAGGAGAGCGGGCCCAAAATTGGCCCATAAATTAGATATAGTAAAATAGGAAAGGAGGATCTTCTGAACTCGAGGACAGATTTTGGAGGCAAAAATTAAGAAGCAATTGGTTTGAGCAGGGTGACAATAATACAAAGTTTTTCCAGAAAATGGCAGATGCACATCAAAAATATAATCACATAAACAGCCTGGTTATTAATGGTGGTGCAGTCTCTAATGAGGAGTCAACTAACAATGAGATCCAATCTTTAAAGTACGTGGAAACTCAAGGAAAAATAAACTTAGGTATGTGAAAGAGAGGAGACAGATCTGGTCAAGAGACTAAAAGAAGACATCCAAGCCAATTAAGGGAAAAATATCAAAAGTACCATGCAAACAACTTCAAATTGATAAAGCTGGGAGATCATTATGTTGTAAATTAATGTAAACCATGTGGATAGAGGGATTCTGGTTGTAAGATATCTAATGAAACCATCACTTAGAGAACTCCAGAGACAGATAAAACGAGTTACTTACATTAACTACAGAGCTTACACCTCCGAGAGTATTATCTGAATGGAGTCCATCTCTCTTTTCCTCTAACCATTTCCTCGCTTCTATAATTGCTTGACTACTGTGGTCCAACGTATCTGAATGAAACATAGAAGACTATTCAGCTTTATGCAAACATTTTGCAGGAAGAACACAAGCTATAACCACATGATAGATTCATTAAGTTATTATCATCTGCAATTGTTTGATCAGGTAGTGTCGAGTGCAAACCCAAACTGTCTTTCCCTTCAAGTGATGAAGAATCCACAACCCTTGAGTTGATGATCGTTACTAACTGGTCACGCTCCTCCCTGCAAAGTTAATAGTATAACTAGGTTCAGAAAGAAACATTATATTTCTTTTGTCCCCTTTTTTTGCATTTACAGACAAACATCATATCTTGCTCTTTCGATACACATGCATGTCATCTGGCTGTCAAAGAGTCAAAGCCCTACTTAATTTTTTGTTCAAGATTCACCAAGTCACAGCAGTATCCAATCCAAATACAACTACAAAGAAAACTACAATATTGAAGACAAGCATAAAAGAGGGAAATTGACAGTCTCTTAATATGAAAAAGATAGGATGCATACATAAAAGACAAGCAAAACATAGGCATGCATACATAAAAAGAAGAAAAAATAAGCTAACTGCACCACTTCACAATTGAAAATGCAAAGGGATGACTGAGTTTTCCAATGGGAGTGCTCCTCAGCTTGAAATACACCGACACCCAGGATTCCAGGGAAGTACAAGGAAATAGCTTCGACTACCACCATATCCAAAGTAAAGACGGGAATCACCAATATTACATGAGCACATCTGGTATTGATATGACGGACACAGTTAGCTATTGAGTAAGCCTTACCTGCCTTATCAAGTTGGATCGCTTGTCATATGTACTAAATATGAATTCCATTTTTTCTCTCACCTACTAGTATTGAGTGTAGACCTTTTCTTCCAAATTGCTAGCAGCAAAGACCTGTTTCTACTCATTGATCTCTCTCTCTCTCTCTCTCTCTCTCTCTCTTTGTATGTGTAAAGATAACTTTAGAATTTGGACACAGACAGAAGAAGGCAGAATTAGTTTCCTGAGGTAGTAATATACTGTTCTTGACCCAAAGAAGAAAAAGATTTACTGTTCACTCAACCTCAAAATGCTCGACACTATTCTACAATTAGTAGTATCATAGACGACGTTGAAGTCCCACATCGGTTGTGGGAGGGAAAAATTGATCTCTTTGTATGGTCTTGGGCAATCTTTACTCATGAGCAGGTTTAGTTAGGCCCAATATCTATTTCTTCTCATGGTATCAGTGTCAAATTCATCCCAATTCTTAGCTTATTCTTGATGATGGGCCCCCATATTATTGTCGATGCTCCAAATGTTAAGTCTTGGGACTGCGAAGGGTTATTGAAGTCTCACGTCAGTTGTGAGAGGAAAATTGATTTCTTTATATGGTCTTGGACAATCTTCATCTCATGAGCTAGCTTTTGGGGTTGAGTTAGGCCCAATGTCAATTTCTTCTCATATTGAAGTGTGTGACTATCTCATCTAAAATCTTCAGTTGTTAGAGAGAACATTATTTTTTTAGTTATCCCATCAACACGCCCCCTCACGTGCGGGCCTGATTCAGTTAATGGGTGTTGATAAGAATCTAATTCAGGAGCAAGCAAAGGTCCCGGATTCTTCATTAAGTGATCATAAATCAGTTTTTAGTCGAGACTTCATTAAGTTATCATAAATATTTTTTCATTTCAAGATTAGCAGTGCATACATTCAACATCCATACAATTTGAAAGACTATTCCTCCTATTTTTTAAATGGTAGGTTGTAACTGAACGTGTGCATGCATGTATCTGTGTGCTTGTGTATTTTTCAATCACTGCTGGATCCCTTGAGTGTCAAGTGCAATAGTTATTCAGCTTTGAACATTCTGTATTGACTTGTTCCTATGAATTTGAGGCATTGCGAACCGTTTATATATTGAAATAGATACCTATTACTGAAATAATATTAAAAATGGCTAATCAATAAACATATTATGTTGTTCCTCAACCCAAAAAAAAGACAAATGACACCCAGCATTTCCATCAAATTGCATTTACAACTAAAAAATAAAAGCCTAACGATAAAATCTCAGAAAAAATTACCCTCCCTCTGCTAAAAACACTAAAGAAAACGAAAATTCAATTCATGAGGATAAATTATAAATCATGAAACAGTCCAAAATCTGAAATTCATATTGTCCTTTTCCTGGAGAATTATACAAACTACATCAGGGTGAAAAGTTTTAAATGTTAGCAAAACTTAGAAAGGACTAAAGACGCACGAAAGGGAGCAGGCAAGCCCAATGAATTGATAAAATGCAAACAAATCGAGACAGATATCACACTACATGCAAATGCTAAATATAAAGTTAAGATTTAAGAATAGTTGGATATCCACAAAGAAATGAGACGTGGAAAAAACATAAAAAATAACAGCATCGATAAGACACAAGTCTCCTGTCACATACAAGAAATATCACTTAAACACTATGAAACAAAATTTCAGCATAAATAAATGAAAGTTTTGCAACTAACCTTGAAAATGTCTCCTGCATAAGTAGTTGCTCAATTAGGTGCTTGGTTTGACTTCTCTCTCCACGTAATTGAGGATGCTACACACAAAAGAGAAGCTCAAAAGAATACATAAATTTCTTTTTTGATACTTCAAGAGTAATTTATTCATACTACACCAAGTTGGAGCTCAAAAGTTTAAATCTTTTCATTTTGAGCTCCAGAGTATCTATCCCAACTTCATGAAGTGGTACATTCCTTATCCACAACAATACCCTGATGACAAAAGGGACCTTTTAGGTGCCCATGATGTGCTCTAGACTCCTTCAAAAGCCCTTCTATTTCTTACTTCCCAAATTCACCATAAAAGACATGTTGCAACTAGATCCACACTTCCTTCCTTGCCTAGTTCATCCTCTTCAATTTGGGTGGGAGGGGGCAGGGGGAACAACCTCCTTGTTTTTTGTTTTTGTATTTTTTGCATAAGAAGCGACTTACAACAAGAGTTTCCTCTAAATAATGTTAGCATTCATACACACGACAATATGATAATGGAAGGTGTTGGGACAAGGTAAACCTAAAATCATATGTAAGGAAATTATCTTAAAATACATATGATCTCTTGGAATCACTATGAAATTGGCTAAGAATAGAACATAATGGAGATCGGGGGAAAAGGATTCATTTAGACAACACCAATTAGTTGCAACCTAAGGTTGACTTGTTCCGGTTACACTTACAAAAAGGGTAGTATTTACTGAGAATTTATTTTTGTTCCAGTTTAAAGACTTCTAAGCCCATGCAAGGATAAGTCAAGGACTAGAGAACCTCTAACTTCCTTAAGGAGACAAATTATTCAGTAAAAAATAAAATTGGCCTAAATTGAGTGCAATGCATACAGAGTATTCATATATCTAAGTTGATTGATCGTTAGGATGACTTTCCATTTTTGAACACCATGCAATAGATATTCATCAAGGCACAAGTTCTCCTTAACAATTAACACATAGGCACGCTATATCCTTCCATCTGTAACCACACATGAAAAGATTTTACCAAGAAAATTTTATTTTTTAGGTCTCTTCGGGAAACATCCAATAAAATTGAAACAATACCGAGAAGGTCAACATGGAACCAAGAAATGGTCCAATGAAAATTTCACTTTTTGACCCTCTGTAAATCAACCAACTTTCTCCCGCGATAAATTTATGAATGATCACAAATCTGTACGAAAAAATAGTTCAACTGTCTAGCTCCCAAGCTTGGAAAGTTCTCCTGAATCCTAGATTCACAAGTTGTTAGTTTTATTCCTAGTGAGGAAACTTGTTACCACAATATACCTGTTTTTCGTGATGCCATTTATATGTGGATATGCTTCATTGGAGGCCAATTCTCCGCACCAAACATCTTACCAAAATCAATGAATTGAGTCTTTTTTCAGCTTATTTTCCCTAAATGAGTATGTCATCACTTCTGACAACCATTCACTCATTGCAAGCATCCATCTGCCACTTCCTTAGCTATGTTTTATTGAAAGTAGCTTTTTCATATGCTTCCTTTGAACAAAGGGTTAGTCACATAGTTCCTTATAAAAAATATAAAGAAAAGGTGTGGATATGGGGGGTTGGTCACCTAGTTCCACTCCACCGGAGAATACTATCTTTCTCCGTTGAGACCCTACATATAGCAAATTCATGACTAGTTTTTGATTTTCTTTACCACTAATGACGGAATACAAAATAAATAAAGGTTGTACATGAGTAAGTTGGAATATTGGATTATGACGATGATCTTTCCATCTTCCAAAAGAGAAGTATTTATCTCCTTAAGGACATACAGTTCAAAACTAAAAAGTGGAAAAGTTCTCTCTCTCTCTCTCTCATTTGGACATAGGGCAGATGACAGTGTCAACCATTAACGACTTTACCGATATTTTCGGCATTCCATATAAGGACCTTCGTGTGGAAGTCTATTGTTGTTTTTACAGTCCCCTTGCATCTTTGTGCTACCTCTGGTTGCATCCAAATTGTTAAATTGTGTGTCCGTTTCATCAAAAAACTTTTGTTGTTAGAGATAACACACTTTTATTTACTTAATTATATCTTCAATGCGCCCCCCTCCCCCCCTACAAACTTGAATTTTTTAACGGGCATAACACGTGAATTTTTTAATAATAGGTGGCAGTGAGGCTCGAGAACCTGGGACCTTTGGCTACTATGATAACATGTTGAAGTTTGAGACCAACTCATCAAAAAGTTTAAGTTGCTAGAGAGATCACACTTTTATTCTATGTCGCACACACTCGGGTGTGGGTACCCGATACGAGTGCAAATCTAGAGGTTGAATCTTCATAACACAACTTTTAGGATTTGGGGTATGGATACAAATGTTGGGATGCAGGCAATAAATTTATATTGTGAGTTGTGACATATATACAGTATATATTTTAAAGTTACTGAATTAAAGCTAATAAAATTTAATTCTTTATAGACATCTAATATTTTATTCATAAGACATCTCGTAATAGCATAGGCCATAGCATTCTCATACTCATATTATATAACTATATATATCTATAACATAAACCTACAAAATCCAACCAATTACCCAATCAATGTATACTTCTCGGCTATACATGTAATCAAAGCACCCACGATGAGTAGACCAAATCCGGTGTGGATCTCAGGGCCACATCAGGTCAAGTTGACATGGGTGCAGCAAGGATTTTGAAGAGTCCATACAACATAGCTTTTATTTACTTAATTATATCTTTAAAACGGACCAACTATATCCCATAGAAGGAAAGCCTATCTGATATACTACTGATAACTTTCATATTCCAGATGAACAAATTGGTATCACAGGGAGAATCATGGTACTAAATCACAAAATCAATTGATTCCTAATGCTTAAAAATTAATAACATAATCAGATGGGATATATTACCTTGTTTAACTCATCCACTTCCGAGCAAATATCATTCTCTTCTCTGTCATCATCCTCTACAATAAAAGCCAGATGTAAGCTATTAGAAAAACAAAATAAAAATGAGAGCATGCTATAACAAAATAGTTTCATTGGCCACCATAATATTTGAGCTCACACCTAGATGAAATTAATATTATAATGTCAAAGAGATAGCTAATAGTATCGGTACAAGAGAGCTTTATTTATTTAAAGCTTGAATAAGGTATTCTTTGCTACATGTGCCAAGACTGCATAAAGAATCCAAGGATGTCCCCTTTCTGTTTCTTTGCTACAGGGCTGGTACTTATCCTTCAGGAGAATGCTAAATGACTGGGAGATTGAAAGAGTGTCTGCTCTGTTAAGTAAGATTGGTGATTTCATTGGCACTAATGTTGAGCAAGATACTTTGAGATAGAGACACAATACTGATGGACAATTCCCTGTTAACAAGGCATATAGAATGGAAGACTTGGTGCAGAATGGAGGGTAGCCAAAACTATGGAGAAACCTATGGAAGTGTCCAGCTCCAACCAAGGTTAAATGCTTCACTTGGTTGGTGACTAAGAGAGCATGTCTGGCACAAGAAGTCTTGAAGAAAAAGGTGGCCATCATAGTTTCCAGATGTTTCCTGTGCAAAGAAACAAATGAAACCAATAATCATCTGTTTTAACATTGCACATTCACAGCACAACTGTGGTCCTTATTCCTCAACATAACAGAGACAAGTTGGACTATGCCTGAACATACTGCAAACGTGCGAAGTTGTCAGATGAAAAGAGGAGGTAGCAAGAGTCAAAGGAAGTGGTGGAGGATAATCCCACAATGCATCTGGTGAACAGTTTGGAGAGAAAGAAATGGGAGGTGCTTTGAAGATAGATCCAATTTCATTCAGAAAGTAAACTGACATTGTATAGTATACTTTTGGTATAATGTAGTAGGACTAGAGGATTTAGACCATTTGGTAGATTTATTAAGAACCTTGTAAGTATTTCCTCTTCTTTTTATGTATCTAACACTTTTGATGGTGTCCCACATGTCCTTAATGCTTTATGCTGAGGAATACATATCAACCAGTTGCAGAAAAAAATCCAAGGGAGTTCTCAAGTTCCAAGTGCTGGAGTCTGCAAAGAAGAGCAATGCAACTAGCCATGCACTGGATATGTACAAGCCTACTTATCAATTCCAATGCTACGCCTAACTCTCACACTCTGACTAGTAACTTTGAATTAATTATCACTAAAACTAAAGGCTGCACCAGGTATAATAGGCGAGATTTGCCTTCTACTTCTTTCTTTTTGTGTGTGAGTGGAGGTGGGGGTTGGGGGGAGAGGGGGGGGGGATAACACGTCTCAACGCATCTGTTTAAGACTGCACACTTTTTTTTGAGAACACAATACAATTTTAATATTTTATGCAAATGTTTAGACAGACATCAATGATTACAACCTTTACAACATATACTGCAACTTCAATTTTTTTTCTGTTTGTTTTATTTTTATTTTTTACAACATAGTGCAACTTTATTTTTTAATACAATCCACATCTGCAATTAGCAATTTGTTCCAAGCAAAGCTAATTCAGTTGAACCAGCTTCAGTGAACGCGCATCTGCCAAACTCAAATGAATTGCAATATGTTTTTTTTTGTTATATTACTATTAATTATATTTTAGATGCATCTCGCCCCTAAAACAGCATGTTCTGAATTGCAGTATGTTTGTACCACTAAAGTGGTATTTTTTTTTTTGAAACTTGGTAACTTACCACTAAAGTGGTATTTAGAAATCATATTACCAAACCACCCCCTGCATTGCAATATTTTGTACTTATCTTTATCTTATTTTGGCTTTCCTTCTAGAAAATAATATAAAGTAATAATATAAAATCAAAGGCTACAAGGCAAAGGGGGGAAACTTTTATACAAGCAGCCTCACTCGTGTGGTATAAGTATGACATCAAGAGATATCAACTATCAAGTGGTTGTAACCTTTACTACACATACTATATTTATCTTTTTCAAAAACAAATTACATACATAAATTCTACTTCCCCCATCCCCCAAAAAAAGCGGGTTCAGTTGGCTTCCCCGCTTCAATTATCACGCATTTGCCTCTAGGTTACAGGATCTCATAAACAATCCTCAACACATTATGTTAGATTCGGGTCATTCAAATTCATATCAGAATCAAATACAAAATAACAGGCTCAACAAATCTTCATCATAACTAGTCTAACTCCTAATTGTAAATGAGGAGTATGGTACTTAATAAGTACTTCAATAATGTACTTGCATTAAACCATTTATACTCCAAAGCATTTAATTATCAATTCAATAGTACTTACCAAAAATAACCATCAAATGAACAGTATCTGACAGAAACTACATCCATAAAACCAACTTTAATTATCTCAACCTCTCTCCCCCTCTGAAATTTCAAAAAATATACCTCACATTCTTACTAAACTAAAATATCCTAAACTCCAATGACACGCAATCAAAAAGAAAACTGAAATCACCTAGCCTGTACTATAACATTTCCATTAAAAGTCAGTATTTTTAGAAGAAAAAATAAATTAAAAGCAACCTACAAACTTAATTTGCACAAAAAAAAAAAACATGAAAAGAGAGTTTTTTTTTTTACTTAATACTCAAACAAACATCAACCAAAGGCATTTTAAAAATCACCACTTTGAGATGAGCAATGAGTGGTAATTTCGTAATTTATCACTTTCTAGATCTCTCACACACAAAAAAAGGAGTGAGATTTGAAGAAGAGTACCAAACATGGAATCGCTGCCTGACGAAGACGAAGAAGAAGAGTCGGAATTGAAGACAGAAGTCAGAATCTTAGCGGCACCGGAGAGAATCGTACGTGTCGCCGGAAAAACATGTCCAGTGAGCCAATTAGGGCTTTTGAGAAACGGTTCTTCCGCCGCCGCTGCCGGTGGTGGTTGTTGTGGACGGTCATATGGACCAACGGCGTATCTCTTTCGCCTGTTAGTTACAATTTTTCCTCCAGAACGAGAATCCATGGCGATATTTTTTCACAGAGAGTGACGCTAAAAACTTGAAGAAGAAAAAAAGGGGCCTTTTTTATTCGGTTTTCTGTGTTTATTCAAAAAGAAGTTGCATTTTTCTGGTTCTTTTGTTTCATGTGATCTGTTTTGCAGTTTTTTTTTTTTTTAGAAACAATTAAGTAGGTGTTTAATTATGATATTTTATTTGGAATGTTTTAAGCTAATGTTGTGTTTGGTCATTTTTTATAAAAAAAATATTTCAAAATTTGAGTTTCTATTTATATGGTTTATATATACCTCGAATAGTTAAAAACTAGTAAGTTCATGCAAATTGATTAATTTATGTGGTATGATCAAATTTGTTTTTTTTATAACCGAAAAATTCGTTTGTGATTCGTCGGTCTTTGGACCAATCACAGTCTTCTAAACTCGGTGGATAATGAGTCCGCCCATCTACCATTCTCCACTTAAATACCAGGTTTCGCTCTGCAAGGTGTGGAACTTGAACCTGCGACCTAAGTCATAAATCCTCCACCTTTTGCCACTCAAATTTGTTCTAGAAGAGTAATATTTCAAAATAAATAGTTTCTTAATATAATAGATTAGATTTCATATACGAGCTATTATTTATTATTATAATATTTTTTCGCTTTATTTGAAATTTTTATAGAAGTTGAAATTGAAGATGGAGTTGTGTTTGATTATAATTTTTACAAATAATATTTTATTGCTTAAAAGTACTTTTTTAAAAAGCCCATAAAATATGATTTAAAAAATGGAGTTTTTTCTATTAAATTAAAAATTAAAAAATTAAAAGAAAAATATAGTAAAAGTATTAAGAGTGAAACAAGATTTTGGATATTTTTCAAATTTCAAATATTAACTTAAAAGATATCATCAAAAATTTTATGATCAAATATTGATTTCAAATAAAGTAAAAGAAAAAAATTATTTTTTTAAAAAAAACTTTATACCGATACAAACTAAATTGCATAAATTAAACCAAAGATAATAGTATTAACTAAAATGAATAATTTATTTAATTTCACAAAATTAATGCATAAACAACATTATTCTTCCTATTTTACCCTTGTGAGTTATTAACCTTGAAAATATATACATTTGTCCGACATAGAAAAACTAAGTAAATAATTCATGTCCATTGGTCAAATTACTTAACCAAAATAAATTAATTCATGTTCAATAATTGAAAACTTGACTTCAAAAAAACATTAAATAAGAGTAGAATAATAAACTTACTTAGTTTCTTAATGTAGGTAGAATCTAAAATGACTACATATAAATATTTGCTTTAATTATTGCAATTTGAACTATTTGCTTTGTCCCAATGTGTGCGTCATTTTTCTCTTATTGATGGCGACTCTATAGCTCCTTATAAAAAAAAAAATTGTCATGCATTGTTAATCTGTCAAGACATAGATCATTTTTGGCTGCCATGAAAATCCCTCCAAAAAAACCTCATTTCTTCAAACCTATTCAACCAGGTTTCAAGAATGGTCTTGTAAGTCATCCTTTTTGCCTTTCTCATCTTTCCTTTATTTACCTTATGTTACATGCAATAGCGGCGAATTCATGATTTTCACTAAGGTACTGTAGTATTTATTTAATTAATTAGGGCAAGTTTATGTTGTATATTGTAGAAAATTCCTATAGGTTTCTTGAAGTATTTGAAGGGAAATGACAATGTTGAACATGCAATATTGAAAAGGGGTGGCTATAAGTGGCCTATGAAGGTGAATGGACATCGATTCGAAGTGGGTTGGGTTGAATTTGTAGAACAACAAGGTTTGAAATTGGGAGATATATTGATGTTTAGACATGAAGGGAACATGGAATTTGAGGTTTCCATATTTGATTCAACTCATTGTGATAGAGAATATGTAGAGTATATGGAGGAAGGAGGAGGAGGAGGAGGAGATCATACAAGTGAAGAGATTTCCAAGAAATTTAAATCCAAAGGTAACATCTTTGTTGTCATCTGGTGTTTATTGTGTTTAGGTGATCGCACCTTGTTGTGTTGTGATTTTACAATTTTCTTGCATATATGCTCTGGACTGCTTTAATTTGCTATTTTTTTTTTCATTACTACTTTGATTTGTTTACTTGAGTCCAGAGTCCTTCGGAAACAGTATCTCTACCTTCAAGAGGCAGATATAAGGTTTGCATACACTATATCCTCATCAAACCTCACATTGTGGGATTTCACTGGGTATATTGTTGGTGTAAAGGTAACATCTTTAGAGTCCATTGATTTATACTTGATGATTTTTGCAAGTTAATTCCCTTAGATCATAGCATAAGTCTCAACTTGCTTATATTAAAAATTACTCTCTCTGTTTTGATTTGTTTGTCTTATTTTTTGTCTTGACACAAATTTAAGAAAGTAACAAGACTTTTGAATCTTGTGGGATGGGTAGAATGAACCAAAATGTTCTTTAATCTCATGGTCTTAAACACATACGTGGAAACTTAGAACTAAAGACTTGCCAAAAAAGGAAAAAATGTATTATTTATGGAAATTATTTTCATGCAACTTGTAATGGAAACTACATAAACCAAATGATGATTATTTTGTAAGAAAAAACTAATTCCAAATTAGCCAAAAAGTATGTTGGTTATTATTTAAATGTTGCTGATTTTCTCAAGTACAATTGTCATATTTAATTTCCAGAGGATGCAACAGAAAGACCATGGCGCAAGATCAAGTCGTCAAAAAAGGCTTCTTCCCATGTAAAAGCTGCTACTCATCACAAGTCTTTTGGTCATTCTCAAATTGAATGCACTATTAGAGAATATTGCTTGTCGCGAGGTTATTTGGTAAGTTTCAAAATTCATTATTACTTGCAAACTCTTCAAGTGAATGTGTTACACAATCAGGCCACATATTAGATAATTAGAAGCTATGATAACCATTAATTAGTTACTAATTACATGGTAAAAATGATAACTAATTTGTAATCACATGTTAAACTAGACTAGCATTATAAAAACGTTTACATTGTCAATGTATGTAAACTAAATTCCTTTTGTTATTTTTTTTTCTTTGTATACACCATGTTAGCACCTTCCTCGACAATTCACATATGCAAATGGCCTCGCCAATAAGAAGTCTGATTTGATTATAAGAGATGAAAGACAAAGGTCGTGGAATGTAAAGCTAAGTTCTTCTAAAACTCGAACCTCTATCATTGGATGCGGGCGGACCAAATTCTTTGCTGATAATTGCTTAAAGAAGGGAGATTGCATAATGTTTGAGGTCGTTACTAATGGAGAAATACCAATATGGAAATTTCAAGTTACTTATCGAAAAGTTCCATTGCAGAAGTTTCAAGGCAAGTTTTCTCATGTAACCAATCTCTTAATTAAGTCTTTGATAATGATCTTTTTCATTGTCATATATGTGTATTATTCTGTGTTGTTTATATAAGTATTACGTCTTGGATTGAATCTTTTTTTTTCTTGGTACGTTTTCTCAAGTGTGTAAACCATTTTCACCTAATAAAACAAAAAAATGGGTGTAATTCCATTACTTAAACTGTTTCTGTTTGTATTTCATATCACTTGTTTCGATCAATATAGTAGTTGTTACATCCTTTGCTACTTATAATCTATCTATGTAATGTGTTTTTCATGTGATCAAATAGAAGTGTTATATATGATTGTTATTTCTTTTCGATTATGCGGTACCTTTTAGCTACTTCTTCATGTTAGTAGAATAGTGCTTAAGTGCAGTTTGCTGTATGTATTCACTCAAGAATGCAGCTTGAAAACGGTATTTACCGATTATGCTGAAAATCAATATCAAAGTCACTGATCAGGGGGGCTGATAGTTAAAAATATATAATTGTGAGTTTTAGAATATAGTCAAGTTCAATTCCAAACCAGTAAACTTTATTTTGATATCATATTCTCTTTTTCTTAATCGAGCGACATCCTCACTGAGGATTCACATCAGACCACAGTTTGAGTTTGTATTTAGGCACAGTTGTAGTACTAGTTGTTGTTATTCTGTTTTTCTAATTAGAGTGACATCCTCAGTGAAAATTCGTACATCGGTAACCACAATCTGAGTTTGGATGAAGGCATAGTAGTACTAGTTGTTGTTATTCTGTTTTTCTTAATAGAGCGACATCCTCAGTGAGGATTCATTTCTCCGACCACAATTTGAGTTTGGATCAAGGCATAGTAGCAGGGGCAAGGCTAGGTAGGGTGAACGGGGTTCATAGGCGAAAAATTACACTGTTTATATAGGTTTAAATTATTATTTTATATTTATAGTAGATTTTGAGCCCCTTTGACTTCTTTGTGTGTTTACTTTTCATATTTTGAACCTCTTAATGAAAATTTTGACTATGCCATTGTATAGTAGTATTAGTTGTTGTTCTATTTTTTCTAAATAGAGCGACATCCTCAGTGAGGATTCATATATCAGACCGTAATTTGAGTTTGCATTAAGGTATAGTAGTAGTAGTAGTAGTTGTTATTCTGTTTTTTTCCTTCCAAAATGATTTGGAATTTGAAAAAGAGTTCATGAAAGGTCCATATTTAGAAAGCGTCCCCTGCTAATTTTCGAAAATTTTATATATGTTATATCTTCCTTTTTATCCTAATTTTACACTTCCTTATCAAGTTTTCTTTCTTTTGCTATGTTTTTCTTAATAAGCAGACATTATGAAAAAACCCTCAAATATGAGTCTTCTCAATGCACAAGTAGTTACTTCGACTTCTGGTGATGATCACCATCCTTCTTTTAGTTCAACCGTTAAACCTTATTGCTCCACAAGGGCATTTTTGGTAAGTTATTGAACTAAATTTTGTTAAGGTTGAAGTTAATTATATACAATAATGTTGGCAACTTCTGTTGAGTGTCTAGGACTTGGACTCTTTTTGTTGTAGTCCTTTTTTTAAAAAAAAAATACAACGGTAACTTAATCGACTCAACTGAATAAATTTTATGGTAGCATCTTCCATTGGATTTTGTGAAGTCAAATGGATTGATGAATAGAAAGTGTGAGATGGTTCTGAAAGATGAAGCACAAAGATGTTGGTCAGTGTGGATTGGGAGAGCTGGACGTCATTTTGGAATTATACGCGGATGGCCAAAATTCAGAGCAGAAAATGGACTCCGAGTAGGAGATGCTTACAAGTTTGAACTCATAAAGAATGGGGAAATGCCTATAGCACAATTCCATTGTAAGTGTTCTTTTAGTTCTAATGTAGTAATGTTCTGTTGTCAAGATTAAGTTCTATGCTCCGACAGTGTAATATAAAATGATGTTTTGCAGGCAAATATTCTGGAAAGGTTGCAAAGAGCGAGGAACAGTAATGAAGCAAGTTCACTATTAAAAATACAAATTGGTTGATCCAATGTTTGGTATTTATACTTCAAAACCTATGTACAATGTTTCTGCAAAATCTTCATGTAAGGTAAGTAAATGAGTGAGACTTGGAAGTAATGACTGACTAGCCAGCTTTTGTACAGGCATCGATGACTCAGTATGGCTTGGTCGTGGTTGTATAAACTATGTGGATTAGTTGAACGTTGTCTCGTTTCCTAGCAGGATAGGCTTGGTAGTAGGTTGGTGCATTGTACATGTTTCCCTGTTTATACCAGTAGTAGTAGTAGGATTTGTCTCGTAGTTGCTTGTCTTATGACCTTTGTTACTCATCGTTATTCAATATGCTTCAGTTATCACATTAGTGAATTATGTTGAGCGCTCTTTTGAATGCTATGTTATGTTTTCCTATTATTTTATGTCATCTTTACTTCTGTATTTTTTTGCTTCTTTAATGTTCGTTACTCGAGCCAAGGGTCTTTTGGAAACATCTTTACTTCCTCAAGGTAGGAGTAAGGTCTGTGTATACCTTACCCTTGTCAGACCCTGTTTTTGGGACTACACTCAAGGTTGAAAAAACTTGACTAATTAATAGACGAAAGTATTGGGGTATTGTTGACCCTTTTCTCGAAAAATAATTCAACAGTAAAAGTTCATATGAAGTATCTAATCATAAATAGTTGACTTCTAGCACAAACATACTACTTATTTTTTCATTTTCAGTTCTTTTAAATCTATATTACACAATGTATATTCATGTATTGACATTTTTATACATAAATAGATAATGTATCTCATGTGTATAACTATAGATGAACAATGTATCAGTTTTGCGTAATTATATATAAATAATTTATTTATACTGTGTAATAATAACTATAGACGTTTAATATTCAATATTTTTAAAGTAAATATCAAATAGTGAATATTCATAATTCAATTCAATATGATAAATTAAATTTCAATACGATGATTTATGCCGATCTAGTTGCTTTTTCAATCTATAAATGGTGCCATGATGGTTGGGTTATTTTTCCATAACTTCTTTAATCGAAAAGAAATTCTTGCTTCTCAAGGGAGATAACTGCAATCTTCGCTAAAGAGTTCAAAATATAAAAAGAAAAATATATAAAGAGGGTCAAAAAGGGATTAATGACTTAGTTGGTTTGGGTCCTTTGAATGAATTTGGAGAGCGTAGATGATCTGGAAGCAATACCCCTTAATACCTTTTGAGTCGAGTGTATCTTATAAAATTTGTCTAATGTGATTTACGTACTTTATGATCTGCAGACTATTACATAGTGATTGTGCAGAAGTTATAGCTATTGCAAGTTATTTTGAAATTTCAAAAAAGCATTTATATTATATATACATAAAAATAATAACTTTAAAACCATATATAATAAGGTAATTTTCGAGAGGATTCAAATAACCCTTTTGTCTCCAGCTGCTGCTACTGTTTGAAAAGAAGTTGATTAAATTAAAGCTAAATTGATTAATAAACTAATACTACAAATTAGAACTTTGGGTCACAATTGGTTAACTAAACCAACAAATAACACTAATTATCTCTCTAAAAACCCACCACTACTGCTCGTAAGTTTTGGTTACCATGGCGTTCTCCACCAGAGTGCTGCTAATTCTCCTAGTTATTTTCACGGTGTTTCAACTGAAAATCGATGCTAAAAAATTGCAAATCCATCGAAAACGAAGATTGATGAACTGCAGATTTGATAAAATTTATCAATTGGGTGATTCAGTTTCCGATACCGGAAACTGTATCAGAGAAAGCTATTGTGGATCTCATTCTTCCTGTGCAAAATCTCCTTATGGAATCAACTTTTTCCATAAACCAACTGGGCGTTGTTCTAATGGCTTGCTCATGATTGATTTCATAGGTATGCAAAGCTCAATCCCCAATTACTTCGTTACTAAATTGCTAGTAGCTAATATTATATATATAATGTATGTATAGATGGCAACTGAGCGAGTTGAGGTTAATTGGATGGGTCAAAATGTGCTGAATTTTAACCAAATTTCAATTGTTTTATTTGTTTTTTTACAATTTTTTTAAGCTATCTTATAATTTTTTTTTATGAATATATATAGATAAAATAAAAAAAAAATCTTTTATTATTTTAAAAGGAATGTGCAACTTTAGAGATAAAAGAGAAAAGTGGCATCTAATAAAATACCAGATAAACATGAACCGACCAGCTACTATATGTATAATTGATAAAAAGTATGACAATTTTGAATTTATTGCTATCATGGGATGCTAATTGGACTAATTATTTTAAAATCAAATGCCTTTTTTTTTATTTTTATAACCGCGGTGTTTAAGTAAGTTTTCGCACGCTTTAACTAATTTTACGAGATATCTATCACCTTCCATTAGCAATAGATACGGTAACTTTGTCCGGATAGATGGAAAAGAATGACCCAGTATTTTTTGTCTTGAAAATATTTTGATAAGATAAGATTTATCCGGGATCAAACTTTGATGGCCTAAGACTAAGTTGCTCGGACTCTCCATAAATGATGTCACACTTGTGTCGGATCCTTCAAAAATACACTTGCAGGATCCGATTTGAAAGAGTCTGAACAACACTGGCCTGAGATACTGAATGAGCAAGTCAATTATCAATCCTTACTTAAACAGGTTGGGCAAGTTATGATTTCATGAGCAAATTTTATCACCTCTGGTCAGTATGTTTGATTTTGTGTTTTTTCATACAGCCCTGGAATCTGGTCTTCCTCTCCTAAATCCTTATAAGGATCAAAGTGCAAATTTTAGACATGGTGCAAATTTTGCAGTAGCAGGGGCTACTGCTTTATCAGCCCAAGTCATGGCAGAGAAGAAGATTGTTCTGTCCTTCACAAATAGTTCATTAGATGTTCAACTTGATTGGATGTCTTCTCATTTCGAGACTACCTGCTCCACCGGTAATACTTCCAATTAAGGAGTGATAACATCTGCGTACATTTTGCTCTGAATATGTTGTTGTTGTACTTCCGATTAAGGAAATAGTGTGATTCACTGATTGACAATTTTCTAGTTTTTGCTTGCTAGATTGCCTAGTACAGTTAAAGAAGTCTCTTTTCCTAGTTGGACATATAGGAGGAAATGATATCATTTATGGCTTATCGCAAGGTAAAACAATGGAAGAGTTGCGAAGATTGGTTCCAGATGTTGTTCAGACCATCATTCATGGTGTTGAAGTGAGTTTTAATCTCTCTGTTTTCATGATTGTTATTTGTCACTTTCATTTGCCTGAAGTTTATTTCATAACGATCGATTCTCACTACTTTTTAGAGAGTCATTGGTTTTGGTGCTACTCGAATTGTAGTTCCAGGGACTTTCCCAAAAGGTTGTGGTCCAGCTTCCCTAACGCAATTCATGACCAACCACTCATCTTCTTACGATGAGTACCATTGCTTGAAAGACTTGAATAATTTGGCGATTTTCTATAATGATCATTTGCAACAAGCCATTGATGAGATGAAGAAAGAGTATACAAACATTACACTCATTTATGGCGACTACTACAACGCGTATATGTGGTTTCTACAAAATGCTGTTACTCTTGGTATGTGCTCAAAGCATCGTTTTATTTTCCTATTTTTGAGGTTAGAGTAAATGGAAACGCGAAGAAAGCTATATGTATTCACAAACTTTCTTTATGTATTTTCAGGATTTGACAAAAACTCTCTACAGAAAGCATGTTGTGGAATAGGAGGAGACTATAATTACGACAAAAGTAGAAAATGTGGAGCTCAAGGAGTCCCAGTGTGTGATGACCCTAGTACTCACTTCAATTGGGATGGACTCCATTTGACACAAGCAGCATACAGTTGGTTAACAAGATGGTTAATTGATGACATGTTGCCCAAATTGAACTGTCATGTTTAAGTTCTTGGCAAAATGGATGAATCAGAAGGCGGATATTACTTAAATAACGTGACAAAAATAAGACATCCCATGAAATTTTACTTGATTCTAGGGTTCTATTATACCCTTGATTCACGTTGTAATTACATATTTGTATAATGTCGATCTAAAAAAAATTGTCCTCAAATGTCATTAATCTTATTTTGAGAAGTGAAAGATCATCCTCAAGTTTCAACTTAATTATGACTAGATTAATGAGTAGATTTCATAAATGTACAATAAAGTAGTTTCATTTGTAACAAATATAGTCAAATTTTCATTTACATAAAAAATAGTCCAAATTAGCAATGTGTGTACACGCAATAAAAAATAGTTTCAACAAAATGACCATATGTATATGTAACATATTGATATGTATATATAATATATCGATTTGTATAAACAGTGTATACTGATCAAGATGATGTATAAACTATATATTAGAGATGTATATACTCTACATGCATCGTTATTACAATAAAGTATACATTGCAGATTTCAATCCCAACCAACTTAAATATCCTCTAAACAATCCCAAAATGTGGATATGGGCTACTCTAAATACTTTAAGTTTTTTGATATATTATTTACTTGAAATAATTCACGTTTGCGGCACGTAGATTCTTAAAGTCTAGCTCAAAAAATGAAAGACAAGGGGGGGGAGGAGGAGGAGAAGAAAACAACAAAGAATTAAGGAAGAAGAAGTCATTAATGACCGGAAGAAGAAGAAGACCAAAGAAGGGAGGAAAAAACGCGAATTGCACTTCGCTTCCATGCCCACTTTTGGTAAAAATAAAAATAAAATAACAATTAAGTCATTTTAGATAAGAAATTTTGACTCAATGAATGTTTTGTCTAATTTTTTCAAGATTAATTTGGAATTTAGACCGAGGGCACATATATATTGTATCTTCTTATTCCTTTCTACTACTTATCCCTAGTTATTTTATTTTTATGATGTTTCTACTATAATTATATTATTTTAAATGTTATCCCACTTTAATTTTATTAATACCACTTGATAAGCTACTATTTCATTGAATTGGCTTACTGTAACATAGTTACATTCAACGTACTTTTGAAATTTATTCAATTTTAATAGGCTTTAGTCATCTGCATCCCCTTAAAGTTATCTGTATAATTCATTTAGACACCTCAACTAAGGCTTGTACCTATTGAACACTCTAACATTAAGAATTTTTTACCTATTTGACATAAACTGACAAACAATTGAAAAATAAAAATACGTGTATCTCAAACATGAATACAAAATCGATTTACCAATAAAATGATGACACGTGGTATTGTGTTCAAATTTTTTTAAAAGCTCTATTTAAATAATCCAAAAAGTATTTTAAAAAATTTAAAAGTTTTTTTAATTAACAACCCCCCGGGCCCCCTTTCCCTTCTTCTTCTTCGATAGACCCAACTTTGGTTTCCTCTTTCACCGGAGCCGGTGTCGGCACCGGCGACGCCAGCAAACCATCGCTCTACCTCTTTCTTATCTTCGTTGGCGTCGATAGTACAAAATACACCATTGCTATTCACTCAAGCTAAATACTCATTCTCTTTCATTTCGATAGCATGAATATATTTTACTCATTGCCTTCATCTTCTATCCATTAGTAACTATTTATTAGAATTGAAAAAAAAAATAACAATCTTTTTCCCAAAAAAAATCAATTCATATTTTTTCATGTAATAAATTGAGCTTCATCGAGATATTTGAGACGTAAATTAACATAAAAAAGGGAAATAAGAAGAAGAATGACAGAGGGTGAGAGAAAGAGAGAGGTGGAAGGGGTGGGGTGTGCGCATGTGCAGTGGCGGATCCAAAATTTTCGTTCAGGGGGTTCGAAAAATAAAAGTATAAACGTGTAAATAAGCCTAAAAATGCGAACCTTTATTTTTTTTAGGTTTAAAACCACACTTTTAGCACGTTTTTAAAGTAAAAAAAAAAAAACACTAAAAAAAAATGAAAAACAGAACTAAAAATTTAAAAAAAAACTAAAAAAAATTGAAACTGAAAAAGAAAAAATTAAAACGCTTTCACTGAGATTCGAACTAGTGACGCGCAACTTAATTTCTGGGGGACTTGCCACTACGCCATTAGCTTTTCTTTGTTATTAAGGAGGTTCAAAATATATATTTACAGAAATACAGAAAATTTAATTTATATATACAGTGTAATTTTTTACCGAGAGGGTTCGGGTGAACCCGTGGAGACCACGTGGGTCCGCCCTTGCGCATGTGTGTAAGAAAAATGATGAAAATGGTGGAATAATAGATGCAGGGATGGGGAAGAAGACTACTGCTCTTTTTTTTTTGATAATTAATTTTTTTCTTTTTTATTAATTCAGGTGCATAAGTTAAGGGAAAAAAAAGAAAAAAATATTATTTTTTGATAACTTAATGCGCTCAAAGAAAGTGAAGCACACATTTTTTTGCCATGTCAGTATTTTGTGTTTAATAGAAATGACTTTTGAACAAATAAGGTGTTCAATTGGCACAGAAAAAATTAAAGTGTCTAAGTGAATTATGTGGATAACTTTAAGTGGCCGGAGATGACCGTAAGTCGTATTAATAAGTTGGTATTTGATAATGACTTTTCAACAATATTTCTTGGCTCTTATGAGTTGTGATGACTTGAATAATTATATGCAATCTTTCAATAAATTTTATTTCTGACAAGTTGTCAATCAAGTAGTGTTGACTAACTCATGATGAGGAAAATCTATGTGATATAATAATTAGCTAAGATTTAATTAACAAGCATATATTATTTTATATATTAAATAAAAGTATAATATTTTCCTTTTCAGTTGGGGACTTCAATTTCTAAAATATTCCAACGTCAATTCTTGTTATCATACTAAAATAGTTCAAGGGTACTGGCCACTGGGATCTTTAGAGAAAAATAAAGGTGACTTATATATAAGAAATTAGATATAAAAGTCTGTGTCAGCACATACCCAATTAATTATATGTTATATTTTTTATTTTAATTAATGTGATATCTTAAAATTTTGACAGTCAACAATATTTTTCTTTGATTATAATCTTTTTATAATTTTAGAAGTATTTTAAGTTGTTAATTATTGTGATTTGTATTAATTTTAATGTAATTTGTAATTATAGAAATTACTAGAAATGTTTTTACTCCTTATGTCCCAATTTACATGACACATTTTGAGAGTCAGACAATTTTATAAATTATTTATATATTTAAAAAATATTTAAATTATTATTTAATGTAATTTATAATACTTCTTACATAATTTTTAAATATATAGATTTTCTAAAAAAAATATTCTTAATAATTTATTACTTACATAACAGAAATGCTAGCGATGTTATCACCACATAAATGACTCATGTACATATTTTGTGGTAATATTACTGACATGATTCATTTTGTATAATTGACTAGTAAATATAATTATTTTTAGTTGGTTAACCAGATATGCCCATAAATAATAGAATATGAAGATATTTCATTATAAGATTACATTTGTATTTTTTTTTATTTTACGTTTTAACACTTAAAATAGTGAATATTTTTATTGAGATTGACTACGAGAAGTAAATAAAATTTAAAATAAAATGAGTTGAGTCGATAAATCATTTTATATAATTGAGATCGTAAAATATAGAGATTAGAGATATTGAACGGGTAACCAATAAAAATTAAGGATGTGTTAGGATGAATGAAATACTTTTATCTATAACCAGAAATCTCAAATTCAAGCCTGAGGAAGGTAAACAACTCCCAACAAGAATTATTTTCATTCCTGAGATTCGAACCCGAAACCTCTGATTAAAGTTAAAGGCATCACATCCATCTCGTCACAACCATTTGTGATGACTTAGACATCATTTTAAATTTATAAAATGATGTATTGACAAATATTTTCTTTTTTAAACTGGGGGGCATTGGCAAGGGAAAATAGGGCAGAGGGTTACAAGAATCAAAATCTCAATTTATTTTTTATTTTTATAATTGAGATTCGTAAAACCTAGAGACTAGAGATATTGAATTGATAACCTGTGAAAATTAAGGATGTGTTGGGATGGATGAGATACTTTTATCCACAACCAGAAATTTTGAATTTGAGCCCTAAGGAAGGTAAACCAGTACCTACAAGAATTATTTATATCCCTGAGATTCAAACTCGAGATCTTTTTTCACTCAAGATATAGAGCAGTAATAGTCCAAAATTGTTCACTCAAAATTGTTAATTATTGTGATTTATCCTACTTTTTACATATTTTTAGATATATAAATTCTTTAAAATTTCTTCTTAAAAATTTATTACTTGAATAATAGAAATGCTAGCTATCATGCTATCACTGCATAAATGGCTCATGTACATATTTTGTGGTAATATTACTAACATGATTCATTTGGTAAATTTGACTAGAAAATGTAATTATTTTTAGTTGGTTGACCAAATATGTCCATGGATACTAGTATATGATGATATTTACTATCGTTGTAATAAGATTACATTTGTATTTTCTTTTCGTTTTACGTTTTATCACTTAAAACAGTGAACATTATATTGAGATTGACTAAAAGAAGCAGATAAAATTAAAACTATAATGAGTTGAATGTATAATTTTATTTTTTTAATAAATTGAGATTAAGAGTCACTCAATAATAGTTTTGAATTTCTCCAAACACGTTGCATATTTTAGTGTTTTGACGCAAAACCTAGAGACTAGAGACATTGAACTGGTCAAAAGTAAACGCCTAATGAAACAAAAGGATGTGTCAGGATGGATAGGATACTTTTATCTACAACCAGAAATTCCGAGTTTGAGCCCCAAGGAAGGTAAACCTCTCTCTACAAGAATTATTTCCATCATCGGGATTCGAACTCGTGATCTTTGGTTAATAGTAAAGGGATCATATCCATCTCGTCACAATCCTTGATGTTGTTTTAGACATCATTATAAATTTTTAAGGGATGTATTGATTTTTTTTTTCTTTTTTAAATTGTGGGCAAGGGCAAGTGGGAATAGGGAAGAAGATTACAAGATCAGAACTAGATTCTCAGTGACAAAATAAAAATTTAGATAATCAACTAATTGAGCTATTAATTTTTTTGATGTGTTGCTTTCCTTAAAATTTAATAATGACTAGTCAAATGTACAACGGATTAGTGC